AACATTTCAAAAAGTACACACAGATAAAATTTAAAATAAAAAATAAAATAAAATAAAATAAAATTGGATCCCGGTCAGACGTATTGCTACCAGAGGGTATTATTTTGGTTATCCAGAAGGTATGACTTAAGTTGTTTTTTAAATCTCACTCCGTCTAATTCTCTTAATTTGGCGGGGATATTGTTCCGCGATGTTGTACGAAAAAGATCGTCTTAACATGGAGGTGTTATGTTTGGGGGTTGTTAATAATCCACGAAATCTTAGATTTAGATTATGTGTAGGTATCAGTCCTAAGAGTTATTTTGGAATATAAATACGGAGGGGATTCTGACTTAATAATTTTATTATATAGACATAAAGAGTGCAATACACGTCTATTTCTCATGTTAAGCCAATTGGCACTAATAAGTTTATTAGAAATGCTATGAACAGTTCTGGGCACGCCATATATCAGCCTCAAACAGGCATTTTGGAGACGTTGAATGCGTTGTGTGTCCCTCTGGTCTAAACAGGGTCCATATATTACATCACAATAATTTAAGTGCGATAAGACCAAAGATTCACATAACGTTTTCCTAAGGCTTGAATTGAGAAAGTCCTTATTTTGATAAATTAGGCGTAGGTAATGAAAACCATTTTTAATACATTGATTAACGTGAGATTTAAACCTTAAATGGCTATCAATAACTAATCCTAAGTTTCTGATCTTTTGGCATACTTCCAGATTCCTACCCTGAACGTTAATCTTTACATGTGGAAGTGTTTCTTTATAAAAGTATTCATTGCATAGCAACATCACTCTGGACTTTTGCGGGTTTATTTTTAACGAATGTAATTCAACTAAATGCACAAACGATTGTAGATTTCTGTTTATTATATGATATATCGCACGCTTGCTTAACGTCACGTGGAGGAAAAGAATAATACATTTGGGTATCGTCTGCGTACATGTGCATGCGCAAGTCCTTGATACAGCCTCCAATGCTTGACGTATAAATTGCAAACAAAATAGTTCCTAGAATGGATCTTTGCGGAACACCGCTGGTGATATCCACATATTTGGATTTAGTATTCTTGTAGACTACGCTCTGTTTATGATTAGTCAAATAACTCTCAATGAGTGAAATTGATTGAAGGGACAAACCACAGTGTTTGAGAATGACCAAAAGCAAAGCGTGGTCAAGAGGGTCAAATGCTTTTGAAAAATCAAGCAGAACTAGGATTGTGGCAAGTTGTTTATCTATTTTTCGTTGTGCATAATGTGTAATTTACAAGTGTGCGACTTAGAAGAGCAGCGGTAATAACTTACTGACACTTTGTTTAACAGTAGCAAATACGTCATAGTAGGAATATCTTTCGTAGCGAAATAACCGTTATACGCTCTACTCAGCCAATATCGAAATTGAAAACTACGTTTGTGTTACTTAAATTGCAAGAGATTTCTGCTTTAAAAGATCATCCCTTAATATTCTTCATCATTCGTGAAACGTATTACATTTACGGCCGGTATTATAAGCCTATGTTGTCAGCTAACAGTGTTAACAACATCATTAGCTGACGACATACGACTATAGTTAAGTATGGCTTTATAATACCGGCCATTAATGTGGTATATTTTTTGCCCAAACTGATGTACCTATAAACGAATTTGTACAATAAAATAAAGAAGTAACAAAAAAAACCGAGCGAGTATTGTGGATACACTGTTTGGAAAGATGATCAATATGACGACTGTGCTTAGGTGCCTACTACTGTTCAAATGAAAGTAATGCAATTTGTAAACCGGTCGAGTGTGGTTGCCATGTAAATCAAACTACAAAAACGTGCGCGTACAAATCTGAGAATCCTGCATACCGATTTTAAAAAGTCGTTGCCTGAATGACCACATCGTATAATTATACTATAAAATGGAAAACACTTTGTATCTGCTTTCAATATATATACTTGATACTTGATGCTTTGGCATATGCCTGGCGTAGCCGCCTCTCCCAGAATTGTAATTTTATATTCAAAGGTATTAGTTCTACAATGATGAAGATGACAGCTGGATGAGAAATAATAAATGCACTCCATTATTGATCCCTTTCTTTATGTATGCCCGTGCCGACCTTACCGAAAGGTCATTACGATGAAAAATTATTGAAAATCACCTAAATGGAGAACTAAAATTATTTCCTCTTCATACCTATACATAAGGCCATAACTTATTACTTTAGCTTTATGGTAATGGCGATAATAATACAGTACTTAAATGAATCGTTAATTTCTAAGAAGGCGTGCATTTCGTTATAAATTGGGAACAATTTATTACTTCGCACTTATACGTTAATGGCAAGCTGTCAATGGAAGTACCCTTATGCACACAATTGGTAATGGTTCCTACAGTAATTCACTTATGCGTAAACAGTCGATTATGATATACCCTTTGGGCGTAATCCGAGTAATTTTGTTATTATACACAGTTTTAGCACTGTTATATTGTTGATAGTACTTGTCTATTGGTTTTGGGCAGAACAACAGTAATTGCGCATTATTTAATATAATTTATGTAGTACGTAGTTTTTTTTTTCTTATGTTTTACAAAATGTATTTGATCAATAGAGCCCTTGTTTGCCTTAGTGCCACGCGTGTTTCATTTCCCAAACTCGCATGTGTAATAATTTACCTAGAAACCAATAAAACTGCCAACCGAAAGCGGACTTAAGAGGGTAAGTTAATCATGCGTATCGGACCGACAATTGAGGGTGTCGATACTAATTAATATTTCGAATACGAATTCCAAGCGGGAGATTTGGTCAGTATTGTTTCGTGCTTTCTAAGTGTTGTGACGTGCACTTGTTAAATTGGAATAACTCGAATTACCACAGTGAGTGAGTACCTCTGCTTGTATAATTATTGTATGAATGTAATTCGGCTTTTGTTCATAAAAGGGTAAAGGTGTACCCTTTCCTCAGAAACGTTGAGCATATGAATTACGTATGAGATGCGAGTTATTAGTAGATAATTAATTACCGAAGGTACCTTCTTGATTAGGAGTTAGAGTATGTTGATAATTAGTAAATAAGACTTATAGGGGTGTCGAATGCAATGCCCGCAGAATGTGCATTTGTGCGTGCAGTTAATTACTGCTTGTCCCTAATTGGAATAGACTAGTTTGCCTGCCCACGTTGGAAGGCCTCTGATGGTCTCATTGGGGGTACGTCGGGCATGGGTCCAGGTCCATATACCTGTATCAATTTGGCCCGGCGTTGAGTAAAGCCTTCCTTCACTAATCGGGAGCTACGTCCGGCTGGGCCGGCGTTGGAAGAGCTCCTTAGCGCATGGAGGATACGTGGCAGGTTGCTAGTCTTTGTTGTGCCGGAGATGGCGTCTGGACACGTGTAAAAGGCCAGCCATATTTATCTCACTTGGAGTTACGTTACGGTCGTAAGAGCTCTGGGCCAATTTAAGGGCGCGTAGGGCCGTCTGGTCGGTGGCTGTGCCCGGCACCTCAGGAATGGTTGGCCCAGCACGTCGGGGGAAACGCTCAGCATCTAGATCCGTCCTGCCCACCACGCTGGATGCACCGTCCACCAGGATTCATCGTGCGGGCCGGTCGATCAGTGTAAGGACCCCGCGTCTGGGTTTTCTGAGCCCACCGCGTTGAAAGACTCCTGTTACCCTCGTTCATTGTGAGGGCGGGGCGTTCCAGGGGCAGGCTACGTGTCCGCACCTAGATACATGTAATGTGAGGAGGAGAGCCATGGCAATTCATTGCGCATGAGGGTTACGTATTCCAGGCCTCGGCGGGCCCGGGCGTCACAAGGCCCCCTTTATGTGAGTTACGGACAGCGTAAGGGCTACCGGGACATGTGGGCCCGGCTGTAGCCAGCTGACGTGTGAAAGACTCTTTTATACCCTCGTTATTTCCACGCAGGAGGGTAGGGATTGCACAGGGGGATACGTAGCCGGGTGGCATATGGGGTCCTGGACGTAAGAAGACCCTCTGTTCTCGTAACCCCGCTACTACGGTAGCTTGTTGAGAGTTGTTGAGTAACATGATTAGAGTAGTTAGGCTGAATGCAAGACAGAGGTGCTCCTTGTGTTTCTTATAATTACAGTGGTCCAGGCCGAGAGCAGCCATGGAGGCCAGGTACCGTTAGAGACCCAGATGATCCTGACAATTTGGGGTGAGTGATATCAATGGTCACGATTGACTGATTTATTGATTATATCGTCATGCCCCTCACATATATGAAAGAATTGATTGACGTTAAGTAAATTATGACATCGATGCATATAAAAAGATGTCACCTTTCTGTAAGCACTATCTCTGCCTGCGAAAATATAGACTGGTGTCTTACAGAAAATATCAGAAGTGGGATTAAACTTTGCGCCTAGCAATTGGTTTGTAATCCAATTGGCACCTTGCTTTAGATTTTGGGGTTGTAATGCAATTGTGTCACACCAAAGATTTTGGTTCTGCAATCGAAATTGCGCTCATCTAAGAATTGGTCTTCTAATCCAATTGCGCTTCGCTGAGGTTTTGGTTCTGTGGTCTGATTTGAGCTCACCTAGGATATTGGTCCTGTGATAAGTTACAGCCTGTCATACAATTGGGTTATAATTAAGTTGCGCCTGGTATAATTAAATTGCGCCTTGCGTTACGGTTGATATCGGGATACGGTCGTACCGTTTGTTAAAAAAAAAAAAACGGATTAATTTTCTGAATTTTGCGTCACTTTTGCGATGTTATCGCCTCACGCTTATCTTCAACGGTAGTCGAGATACTCAGTGCATTGAATTGAAGTAAGTGTATGGTAGGGTTCTGTTAAGACAAGAAGGCATCTTGGGTAATTATGTGATGCTTAAGCGGCGGAAGTGAATTTTCTTACAATGAACCATTTCTTGTAGCGAGCTCTTGAAAGGAAGAACTATGGGAAAACATCGCTCAAGATCGTCGGAAGGGCGGAGCAAACGGACTCGTCGTAGTAGAAGACGAAGTAGCTCGCATGATGAAGATAGGTCACGAACCCCTATTGCGTCCCCTAGTCGCACAAGCGACGTATCTTCTATCGACCGACTCGCAGATGTCATGCGTGCGTTTGTTGGGAAGATGTCCACATCTCGAGGAGGTGCATCATTCCGTGGAGAAGCAGTTCCGACCTTTGATCCTGAAGACAGGGATCAAGATGTCGAGATGTGGCTTCGAAAAATGAACGACCTACGTGATGTGTTCCGTTGGTCCGAAGAAGCCACAATATACCATGCCCTATCCAAACTCCGCGGATTGGCAGAAACGTGGTATAAGGGATTACGATGCATCAAACTCAGCTGGGCTGATTGGCAGCAACAACTACTGAAGGCATTCCCTCCATCTAGGGATTTTCACCAACGCCTGGAGGAAATGTTCCTGCGTAAGAAACGGATGGGCGAAAGCTATTCGAAATATTACTACGAAAAGATGGTGCTGATAAACGCGTGCAAGGTTACTGGCACTGACGCCGTGTCGTGTCTGATTGGGGGAATCCAAGACTCAACTTTGAAAAATTCGATAAGAGCTGCGGACTACCAAAGACCTGAGGATCTTCTCCAATACTTTCGATCCTTGCCTGGTACCTCAGCTTCGACGGAGAGAAATACCCAGCCGACGTTCGGACGTCGTGTTGGAACTAGCGCATCATCTCTGAATAGGGCGTGTCACGTGTGCCGGTCGGAGGGCCATATAGCGAAGTTCTGTCCCAAACGAAGAGGAATGGTATGCAACTACTGCCGGAAAGAGGGGCACCAGGAAGTCACTTGCCTCCAAAAGGCAAGAAGGAAGGACGGGGGTAATCTGGGGACTCCCCTAACATGCAACTACTGCCGGAAAGAGGGGCACCAGGAAGCCACTTGCCTCCAAAAGGCAAGAAGGAAGGATGGGGGTAATCTGGGAACTCCCCTAACATGCAGCTACTGCCATAAAAAGGGGCACAGCGAAGCCACTTGCTTTAGAAAGCAGGGGAAGAGCAACGCAACGTCGACGCCCACGACGTTGTGACTAGGCCACCAGGAGGAGAGCCGACCCGGAGACAAATACTTCAAGGATGTCCGTGTCAACGGTATTCCGACGCGAGCGTTTGTGGATATGGGAAGTTCGTGTATCACGATTCGGGAGGCGGAAACCAACGAACTTAAATTGGACGTGAACCGTGGAGATGTTACACACATCCGTGGATTTGGTCAGGGACACGTTGCAACCACAGGCAGCACCAGATTCGTTTTGAGAGTCGATGAAGTGGAAGCTGATGTAAAGGCACTCGTGGTGCCCAACCATGTCCTAGAGATCCCGCTGCTAATAGGTCAGCCGTTTACGGAGCAGCCTCATGTGCTGATGGTCAAGGACAATTCGAACCTGACCTTCTTGAAACGGATCGACTTGAATGCGCCAAAGGAGGGATTTGGTTTAAGCGCAAGGAAGATACCTCTGTGGGCAACACGTGCAGTGGTGATACCTCAAGATCATTTGGGCCATATACCAGTTCGAGCAAATGGAGGTTACTCGGGAGATCTGTACGTGGAAGCCAGTCTGCGGTTAGAGCAAGGACGAGAGTGCTGCATCCCTCGCACGGTGCTACGTATTCGGGGAAAGGAGGATGCTTTGCTACCGGTGTTCAACTTGTCAGACCAAGCTCTATCGGTAACGGTGGGACACCCATTGGTAAGGGCTTGGCCATGTGCCAAGGAAGAGCCCTCGAACGACATGGTTCTGCGAGTGGAAAACACATCGTTGCCCATGTTGACCATGAAGGATGTCCAAATGGGACCAATGAGAATGGAAGAAAAGGAATCGTTACTTGCTCTGCTCAACTCATATCGGGATCGATTCTCGGCAGGATTGGGGGATTTAGGATGTGCGAAGTCGGGAGAATTGAGCATCACCTTGAAGGAAGAAAAGCCCTTTACATATCGCCCATATCGAATGTCTGAATCCGAGAAGAGTACGACACGCGCCATTCTGGACGACTTGTTGGCGAACGAAATTATTCGGGAGTCCGAATCAGATTACGCATCACCCCTGCTGTTGGTGAAGAAGAAAAACGGAGAGGAGCGAATGTGCGTGGACTACCGTAAATTGAATAGCCTCACCGTTAAGGATTTTTATCCTCTCCCTAGGATTGACGATCAGCTGAATCGTTTGCACGGAAGCAAATACTTTACAAGTCTGGACTTGCGATCCGGTTATCATCAAATACCAGTAGCTGAGAGTTCCAAAAAGTACACCTCATTCGTGACACCAGAAGGCACCTACGAGTTCAATCGTATGCCCTTTGGGCTCTCAAACGCGCCAGCAGTCTTCCAGAGATTGATGAATAAGGTGCTTGCACCGGCAAGAGGTATCGCCGCAGTCTATCTAGACGACATTCTGCTGCATACATCAACGGTGGAACAAGGGTTGCAGAACTTAGAACTCGTGCTGAACCTACTGCGAACAGAAAATCTCACCCTTAACCTGGAGAAATGTACGTTCCTGATGACAACGGTGGACTATTTGGGATTCCAAATAAGTCAAGAAGGAGTGAGGCCGGGGGAGAGGAAAACCTTATCGGTAGAAGAATTTCCTACGCCAACGAATGTCCATCGGGTTCGTCAGTTTTTGGGCCTGACCGGGTATTTTCGGCACTTCGTTAAGGACTATGCACGGATAGCCGGGGCCCTCACCAAATTAACGAGGAAGGGTCAAACTTGGAGGTGGCTTGAGGAAGAACAGTCCGCGTTTGAAAGGCTGAAGACAGTCCTGGTCAGTAGACCACTTTTGGCTTTGTACAGCCCAAATGCTAGGACAGAAGTGCACACCGATGCCAGCCGGGTTGGATTAGCTGGAATCATGCTGCAGGAGCAGCTGGACAAACGGCTACATCCTGTAGCCTACTACAGTCGACAGACCACTCTAGGGGAACAAAAATTTCACTCTTACGAACTCGAAACGTTAGCCGTTGTCGAAACTGTCAAGAAGTTCCGAGTGTATCTCCTGGGGTTGGAGTTTCTCGTCGTGACGGATTGCAACGCACTGAAGGCGACCAGCACTAAGAAGGATCTCAATCCGAGAATCGCGAGATGGTGGTTGCAATTGCAGGAGTATACTTTCAGCGTTGCCTATCGACCTGGGAATCGTATGCTACACGCAGATGCGTTAAGCAGAAATCCATCCACGGAGGAATTTCCCACTGAAGAAGTTTTCAGGATTCAGGAAGATGATTGGGTTCTGTCCGCCCAATTGACGGACACTCGTCTCCAACAAATCCAGAAGGTACTAATGAAACCACCCGTAACCGATGAAGATCGAAAAATTTACAAGGATTACGCATTGCGAAATGGCCGATTGTACAGAATTACGGTAAGGGGTTTGCTCTGGGTCGTTCCTCGAGGAATGAGACAGCAAGTAGTACGAGGAGCGCACGACCAGATGGGCCATTTCGGAATGGAGAAGACCTTACAGCGGTTAACGGGACACTACTGGTTCCCACGCATGAAAGGGTATGTTACAAACTACATTTCGTGCTGCATACCATGCCTGTACGGGAAGAAAGCGTCCGGTAGGAAGGAAGGGTTTCTTCACCCGATAGAGAAGGTAGCCATACCCTTCCACACCTTGCACATCGACCATTTAGGACCATTCCCGAAATCGAAACGCGGGAAAGAATATCTTTTCACGGTGGTGGATGGGTTTACGAAGACCGTAATTATGAAGCCAGTGACATCTACGGCTACCCGCCATGTGATCATTGCACTACTGGAGGGGTTCAATTCGTACGGGGTTCCCACTCGAATCATTAGCGATCAAGGTTCCAGCTTCACGTCTAAAGGCTTTAAACAATTCTGTGAAGACCATGGCATCCGAAGCATCCTTAACGCTGTGTCCACACCTAGGGCCAATGGGCAGAACGAACGCTTCAACCGAACGATTCTAAGCGCACTATTGACATCCACGTTAGAAGAAGACAGATGGGACTTGAATGTTCAACGCATCCAGTATGCCATCAACACTATGGTGAACAAGACCACAAACAAGACCCCATTTGAGCTGCTGCATGGCTATCGGCCTAGGCCGCGCGAGTCCCTGGAATTAGCGGATGCGCTCAATCTCGTTCCAGAAGTAATTGAGGACATCGTCTCAATGAGAGAACACGCCGCCGAGAGGATCAAGGACGTGCAGCAGACTCAAAAGAGGCAGTTTGATAAGAAGAGAAAAGCTCCTAATGTGTACCACAAGGGTGATATGGTACTGGTCGAGAAGCATGAAGCATCTACTGGTACGAGTAGAAAGTTGCTTCCAAAGTACAGTGGACCAATGGTAGTGAAGGAGGTACTACCAAACGACCGGTACATAATCACGGATATGGAGGGTTCCCTTAGAACTCAAAAACGTTCGACGTATGAGCGAGTGGTGGCCGTCGATAAACTGAAACGATGGGTTCCGCCCGGCGCTTTATCAGATGCAACTGATAGTGATAGCGGCAGCGATGGAGTGCCGTGCGATTCCAGTGGTTCGGAAGACGATCACCACTTCGAGGGCGAAGTGAGCGACAGGATGGCCGAGTGTAGTACGTAGTTTTTTTTTCTTATGTTTTACAAAATGTATTTGATCAATAGAGCCCTTGTTTGCCTTAGTGCCACGCGTGTTTCATTTCCCAAACTCGCATGTGTAATAATTTACCTAGAAACCAATAAAACTGCCAACCGAAAGCGGACTTAAGAGGGTAAGTTAATCATGCGTATCGGACCGACAATTGAGGGTGTCGATACGAATTAATATTTCGAATACGAATTCCAAGCGGGAGATTTGGTCAGTATTGTTTCGTGCTTTCTAAGTGTTGTGACGTGTACTTGTTAAATTGGAATAACTCGAATTACCACAGTGAGTGAGTACCTCTGCTTGTATAATTATTGTATGAATGTAATTCGGCTTTTGTTCATAAAAGGGTAAAGGTGTACCCTTTCCTCAGAAATGTTGAGCATATGAATTACGTATGAGATGCGAGTTATTAGTAGATAATTAATTACCGAAGGTACCTTCTTGATTAGGAGTTAGAGTATGTTGATAATTAGTAAATAGGACTTATAGGGGTGTCGAATGCAATGCC